CTATATAACCAGAAAATACAGATGTGGGGGTTATTTTGTTTTGTTTTTTGGTGGCGGTTTGGCTTTTTTTAGTGGAAATCTGTTAAAACAAAACATTACCTAAAACTATAATATTCTTGAAAGTGAAGAAATTGTCACTTTGTGAGCTTAAGTACCTTAGGAAATCTCACCTTTAGCATTGCCTTAGCAGATGGTGAGGGAATAAAAGTCTGCAATGTATATGCGATTTTTTTAATCCTTAATAAGGAGTGGACAAGTGCATTGTTGTAATGTGATTATACGAAGTATAAATGGGATTTAAGTCTTAGGTTTGCTTTATGAACTGACTATCATAAGTTTTGGAAAACATTATTTTTAAAAAATCTTTAGTAGTTTGGATTTATGACAACTACTTTCTGTGCCACTGTGTTTTAATGTTGGGGGCCACAGAGAAAAAAATCTGGATCAAAAAGAGGCTTTTGAAACTGAGTAAGACAAGATATTACCTCTGGTGAAGAATATCACCCTGGTCAGATCCCACAGCTCAGCAGGTCACATGTGCACTTGCTACTGCATTTTAGTCAAAGACCTACTTTTTAAAATGTATTAGCTGGTCTACTTAGGCTGAATAACTTAGTGACTGCTTCCATTGATCAGCTCCTCAGTAACATGCAGAGAGGACAGGAACCTCTAGCTGGAGGCAGTGACAGGCAGCTGAGGCAAGTAAGAAGAGAGCAACCTCTCCAGCCAGTGTTGGACTTGCATGAACAGGTAAAGCTTTTAGTGATTTACTAGCAAGTTAGCTGGGAAGAGAAACAAAAACATACTCTGCTTATGCTAGAAAATAGGTGACTGTCAGTGCTTTTGTGCACACAGGCATTTTTCAGTTTGAACTCAGTCTGAAATATGTGACTCAGTCCACTAGTTCCAAACAAGACCTTTAAAAACTGCTTTATTTATTCATTTTAATTTCTTCCCCAGATCATATAAACACTTGTGTTTAAAAATCAGAGCCCTTCTTTTTCCTTGTGCTTTCTCCTTCCAGCATCACATCAGTGACCTGATTTTCAGAGGAACAGCTCTCAAAGTCCACAGGAGGTACTCAGCATGTCTGAAAATCGAGCCATAAATAGACATGAATCTTTCTTTCTTTTTTTGCTCCAGGAACTGAACTGCCAAGTCTCAGCAAACAGCCAAAGAAACCCAGCTTGTTCACAAATGCTAATTTAAAGCTGCATGTGTTTTTGCATAGGCTGCATTGGACTGATTAAATTTGAGTCACAATAAAAGAGAAACTTATTTTTCTAAAAGGAATCTTTAAATTCTTGGAGGTTTGGGAGGGGAAAAAAAGGCTGTCATTTGGGAGATCTCCATCTGCGGGATCTGTGAGTAATCTTGGAGCGGAAGCAAAGAGGAAATCCCCCACACCACTTAATGAAATGCTGTTGTGGGATAATCACTGCCAAAGAAACTCATCAGTTCAGACTTTGAGCATCTTTGTCTGGTAAAGTGTCTGAATTGAGCAAGAAAAACATGCATTTCCTGTGCTAGGGGGCTTTTTTTCCCCGTATTAAGATCCAGATTGTTATTCTGTAGGAAATGGTATCATTCATATCTGGAAAAGCAGGGGATAGAACTAGGGTTTATTATGACTCCTTTCTCAATGAATTGACTTTCTGTTTGTTTTGAAGATCTTGAGAACAAGAAACTATTTCCTAGCACAAGAGAAGTTAATAGTCACACTGTCATGTTCCTCTCATGTATCTTTTTAAATCTTTTTTCTCGGATCAAAACACTGTTATGTGCAAAGCAGCTATGGAAAAACTGTAATGGAGGGAGAAAATTCCTATCTTAGATCCTCGTTAAATTCACAGGCAGAAGAAAGAGAAGTCATTTATAGTCAAGGAAAAGGAACTTTAGAATTCTTCCAAAGAGAAGGCATTGCTAAGTTCAAATCAAGATACTGGTGTTTCTCTAAGGTGTCACAGGTCCAGCAAACTAGATCCCCAGATTTATTTACCTGAAACAGCAGAGTACAGATATGTTCCAGATCAAGCTAGCTCTACTCTACTTTCATTTAGTAAACGATTCATAAATTGTCCCAGATATTACATGAACCATTACATGGTTAATTTTAACAATTCCTCTCTTGCATATAAATCAGTATAACTCCACTGTCCACAACAGGCTAAGGCAAAATAAAGGGGTACATTCCTCAGTGTAAGAAGAGGGAGTAGAAAACCCAAAGGGATAATTGAATGTATCATTAGCAAACTGGGTGATGATACTAAACTGGGAAGTATTTCCCCTTGCAGAGGGTTATAGATAGGTTGGAGCTTTGACCAATGATTAATGGGATCAAATTTAACAAGATCAAATGTCATATTCTGCATCTGGGATGCAGTAACACCGGGCACAAATATAAACTGGGAGACCAGTGACTGGAGATCAGCCCTGCAGAAAGGGATCTGGGCAGCAGCTCAACAGGAGCCAGCAGTGTGCCCTGGTAGCCCAGAGAGCAAACCCCATCCTAGGGTACATCAAACACAGCACAACCAGCTGGACAAAAGAGAGGATTATTCCACTGTGTTCAGTGTTGGTGTGGCCTCACCTGGAGCCCTCTGTGCAGTGCTGGGACCCACCTGTTAAGAAGGATGTGAAGGCCCTTGAATGCCTCCCAAGGAGCACAACAAAGCTGGTCACAGGGCTGGAAGGCACATCCTGTGAGGAGCGGCTGAGGGCTCTGGCCTTGTCTAGTTTGGACAAGAGGAGGCTGAAGGACGATCTCATTGTTCTCCACAGCTCCCTGAGTAGGGGAAGGGAAGAGAGAGGTACTGAGTGTTTCTCACTGGGCCTTAGTGATCTTTACCAAGAGGGTAGTTAAACAGTGCAACAGGGCTTCTAGAGAGGTGGTTGACACCCCAAGCCTCTCAGGGTTTAAGAGGCATTTTGACAATGTCCTTAATAACATGCTTTAACTTCTGGTCATCCCTGAAGTGGTCAGGTAGTTGGACTAGGTGGTCATTGTAACTCCCTTCCAACTGAAATTATTCTAGTCTAGTCTAGTCTAGTCTATTCTCTCACTTCCATTCTCCAACCTCATTTTGCCTTTGAATTCTTCCATCCTGTAACTCTCTTACCACTGCAAGCAGTTAGCCTTGCTCCACAGGACCAAGATTTTTAGTCTACAGTCTCAGATACAAGTACATACTCTACCTTCCACAGTTTCTGTTTTATCAAATGGGTGTTGGATGTATAAACTTTCAGGTACCAGAAAGCCATGCTTTCCTTTTCTCAGCTGAACCTAACTACTATTCCACCCCCTACTCTTGACAAATTGCCTGTTGCTTCAAATATTTTCCATGCATATCTGAGTAATCAATCTCAACAAGAGATGTGAAAAGTAGTTCTGCTTCCTCTGATTCTCCCAAATATACAACGGCCTGGTGCTGAAGGAGAGCCTCGTGTGCTGGTTGTACACCCACGTGCCTGAGTACCAAAAGTCTCCTGTTTCTAGCAGCAATTTATTATTTATCAAATTAATCAAATAAATTAGAAGTTGTTAGAGGCTTGCTCTACTTTATACCATAAATGTCTGTCTTCCTTACCAGGTGGATTGGCACAACCTGGCTGTCTAAAACACACTGTTCCAACCTTTTGGGAGTTTCCATATATCCCAAACAAGCATCCTTGTGGGAAAGGGAAGAAACATGCAACAAGAAAAGCAAATAATTAGAGAATAGCTGGGCTAAACTTAGCTCATTTAAGTAGTACTTGATATACACTTCCCTTTCATGTACCAAGTGGTAAAAAATATGTATGTCTAATTTCCCTATTTACAAATCTATAAAGCAGGAAAGTTGCCTGCTCATCTTCCTGAAAGGAAGAGGTGAAGGAAAAAGCAATAGTGAAAACTACGCAAATTATTTTATTAAAACATCAAGGAAAAGAATCTCCAAGGGTATCTTATTTACAGTCTGTCAGCTTACCACCCCAGGGACTTCATAGGTTTCCTCTGATGTCCTGTTATGATCTACATGAAGTTCAAGCAGTGATGCATCAACATACAGGATAAACCAACAGAAAGGCAGGTTTTAAACTTTCTGAACAGCTTCAATCTATCCTCAGTCTGTCTGCTTATCCACGTAGACGCCTTCAGTAGCAAAGAATGCCTTTCCCAAGCATAGGATGGAGTATAATAATTAATTCCCAGTTTGTGGGAGAAGGAGCTTGGTAGGTTTGTGAATTTATCTGCATGGGATGGAGAGGATTTCTAGTGAGGTGGTGCTCAAACCAAGACACATCTTAAGAACTAATTGTGGAAATATTAAACATCAAGGAAGTCTATAGTGCGTTTAGCTTAGAAGGTGGTAAGATCTGAAGTGATCTCAACTGGCAGTGAGTTTCTAGAATTTTTTGCGTATGAAATTCTGTGTTGCTTTTCCAAGGTTGGATGGCCTTGTATTGTTTCAGTGGTGGCATTTTGTGGCAAGTCAGGACCCCATAGGGATGTCAAATGCTATGACCACCAATTTCAGTCTCCAGGGTTATTTTAACCAGGGAACAGAGACTTGTTCTGTGTTTTACAGGAACCACAGCAAAGGGCAGAGCACACTCATCAGTCCTTTTTGTTAAACAGAAGGTTTAAAGAATTTTGAGCCAGTCACTTCTAGTTATATGGAGCACATCCTTTGCATCTGAAATAAAGCAAACACTGTTCTCAAACCATGAACTGCAGTCTGGCCATCTACACACATATTAAACTGTCTTTCCCTTGCAAGTTTGTGCCAGGCCCTATCAAAAATCTTTCCCATGTTCTCAAAGATGGCACTCTCACTGCCAGACCCTTCTCCAACTTCATTATAGATATCAATTGCCTTGCTCCCCCCATGGAGATGTATCATGGACTGGTCAGTCCCACATCTTCCACTGCCTTCCACTATTTCTTCTTAGTTGTCACTGCAACATTATGAAGCTTCCACTGCCACCTCTCTTTGTCCTCCTTGCAGACCCTGGCAGCCATGGACTCCATGCTGACAGTAATAGTGCAGAACACTCCTCCCTCCAGAATGGGCAAGGAGCTGCAGAACAAGTTGCAGGTTTGGCCTGTCCAAACAGTGGGTGTCCCAGGGCTCTTCCTCACCCTGTGGGGGAGGGTTTGCCCACTCCTGGGTGGGCAGTCCCCAGACAAGTACCACAGAGGCAGAGCGCTGAGGTGACAGTGACCACCTCCTGTGTCACCAGGCTCTTCTGAAGCACCTACTTTCCTGCCTGGCCAAAAGCTTGGCCCAGGGCCTTTGGCCCAGGCCAGCAAGGGACCCCAGGGGCAGGAGCCCCACTACAGGCTTTGCCTGAGGTCAGAGGAGGCCTTGAGGGACAGTTCAAGTTCCACACAGGAGCGGAGCTGCGCTGCTGCTGGAGCAGGTGTCTGCTCCCGGGGCTCATCAGCAGATTCTCTTTTCTCAGGTGCTGGTGGACTTTACCAGATATCAGAGAATCGATGTGAAGGTTGCGGCCTTGGAGAGGATTTGTGTACTGAGAGAATGGATGGACAGCTATTCCTTTCCTCCTTCCTACCAGGAGAGCAGCGAGATGTGAGAGTTCTCAATCTGCCTCTTCCGAGAACACCTGGGGTTAGCAGTGGTGAGGAACAAGAAGAGGTGGAAGACCTGCATATGGAGTGCACTGGTCCCGCTGCTCTTTCATATGGGTGACCAGTCCCCAGTGTGGCCAAGGTACAGGTTTCAAGGCTGAGCACTGACACAGGGAGGGCTGACCCTCCCTGTGGGGCCCAGGCGACAGGGCAAGGTCTGCTGGCAGTGGGCAGACCTCCCTCAGCACAACCCATGGGAAAGGTCCCTGCAGAACCAGCATGAGCAGGGATGGAGAAGCTGGCACGGCCATTTCCAACACCTGACCTAGGGCTCCAGTAGGGCTCAGCAGCAGCCTGTGGCCACCAAAGCCTGAACAGGCACATCTCCACAGGCTTCTCTGCTGTCCCTGACATGTGTCAGAGGCCAGGGCTTCGAGCCTCAGTCCCTGTTCCTTGGGGCTGTCCCAAAGAGGCCCCCAGACACTTTGGCAAGGGCATATCCCTGCTTCCTAAGGGCAGGATCACCCCAGGAACAAAGCCAAGAGGTGTCCTTTGCCAGCCATGGTGCTATCTCACAGCTTCTGCTGCTATGCAGGCCACTGAAGAAGTGCTCCTTGCTGCTACAGAGCTCCTCAAGTGGAGGCAGCTCAAAGACCTGATGCAGACACAGCAAACTTGGAGGATTGGTGAGTGCTTGGTAAGAACAAGCCCCAGGGTGCAAGCTGGGTGAGGGTTGCCCTGCACCCAAAGCGTGGGGTGTGGGCTTTGCAGCTGGGCCTTGCTTGCCTTGCTGCAGCCCAGAGCCCACAGCCTGGAGCTGCACCCCAGTTTCTGTCCTCCAAGAACGGAGCCCCAAGGGCTCATCTCCAGGTCCCTCTCCCTTCCCTGCACCCAGTGGGAGAGAGGGCTCTGGGCAACACTGAGTGCTGGCAGGAGGGACTGCTGCAGCCAACGGGGGGGTGGTTCTGTGACTTGTACTCTCTCCAGCTGGGGAAGGACAGGAGCAGGGCTGAGGAGTACCTGCGTCAGTGCCTGTTGTACCCCAAGGACCCTGAGGCCACTGTGCGAGAGGTGACCATCAGGTTCATCAGTGAGCCCCAGCCCCTGGAGTCCCTCTTTGGGCAACCTGGCCCCCATTCCTGCTCCTGCACCAACATCGTGGCACAACCCTGGGGCTGCTCAAGCCCCAGCTGCCACATGCTGGGCCTCAACCTCCCTCCGCCACCCCTGCCCATGCAGCTGGGCTTGGTGGTCACCTTGGTCAGTTCTACCCCCCTGAGCTACTGGTAGTTCCTGGGGTCATCCCTGCTGAGGGGGAGGAGGGCAGGGCCAGGGGCCACGCTGCTGGGAGCCTGCTGGGGAGCAGGGGCTGATGGAGCTTTGTCCCTAGGGGTGGCCACGCGGCACCTAGAGGACCAAAGCACAGAGAAACTGGATGAGATCTGCAGTGGTGAGTGGGGAACATGGGCTGCAGGGGATGTCTGAGGGTCTCTGCAGACACGGGGGTTCATCTCAGCTCTATTTCTTTTGGTCACAGCCCTTAAGCCCTTGCAGACTGTGGGCAATGATTTCATCTCTTACCTGGCAACTCAGGCCATCTTGATCCTGACAGCTTTAAATCTACAGCAAAACCCAAGATTCAATCTACAGGCACTGCTCTTTTGGTGCTACTGAGCCAGTTGGAGGATGGCTGTGATTTATTAACGCTGGAACAATAGGTCCAAATCCATGATGTCCTTCAGATGCACAGACTGTGTCCTGCTTGGCATTACTGCTGCCTGCAGGACAACTTTCCCCTCAGCACACCCACAGCCCCAGGCTGTTTGAGAAGTTGACCCCTTACTGAGGCTTTACCCAGGAGAAACCTCATTTGTGTCTCCTCAGGGCAGTCCCCCCACCATGCAGCAAGGACAAGGCACAGAAACTGTGGGCCCCCCTCTGCATTCCCATGGGTGTACAGCCATCCAACGAGGCATCTGCTGTTACTGCATCACCACCTCCCCTCACCATAATGGGTTTGGAAGGGTTTTCAAGCAGAGTACTGTGGTGTTAAGGGGACCAGAGGGAAACCTCAGGGGTCCTAGAGGGACTGGAGGACAAACAAAGAGCCTCAGTTGCTGCCACCATGGCAGAGGATGGGCCTCTACTGCCATGTTGCTGCTGACAGGGGCAGCTGTCCCTACCCACAGGTCAGGGGCATGATGTTCCTTATAAATCCTTGTCAGGCTGAACAAAGACACTGGACACGTGTCTGGGAACTTATATTTTACTGTACAGTCGCCATAAGTCTGGCAACCAGCCCACTATTTAGACTGAAAAGATGTTGGCTAACAAGCCCTTAATTTCATACAGTACATCTCTCTAAGTTCTCAAATCCCAAAACAAACTCCTCAAAGGTGCTGGCACACAGGCCACTACACACAATCAAAGGCGCTGGCTAACAAACCACAACACACCAATATTCAGTTGTTCCCCTCAGAGAGGGAAGCCTTTTCACCACCTTGGTTGTAATATCTGGAACATGCAGGACTTGAGTGTATGTCAAGGGGAAGTACTAGGCTTAGGCATTTACCTGAATTGCAATTATTCTTTAAATCAGACTTGAAAATCACTTACAAAAAGTGTAGTAGTTCAGTAAACTACTGTGAGATTTAAAAAAAAACCCATAAAATCTCAGAGGCTGGAGAATTTCTGAAACTGAATAAACTTAGGAAAAAAAGAAATATTACCCCTCATCCATTCCTTTATTGTTTTAACAATGTGCCTAATAATAAAGTTTTGAGGTTTGGTTTCTTTTTTTGGTCTTTTTTTTTTTTTTTACTAGGTAAGCTTGAAAATATACAAAAATATGTTAGCATAATTTTCCTCATGAATTATTTTTGTGTTTGCCTATCTACTTCTTGGTCATTTTCTAAAAATAATGTCCTTAACACTCCTTAAATTGTAGTTGAAAGTGAAAGCTGAAAGTGGTTGCAGTTGTCAAGCTACCACGAAAAAAGGGGACACAGGTGTCATATCCCCTTTTACACACCGAAGATGTTAGTATTAAAATTACTTAACCTCAAAAGAGGGCTTCAGTGACTTCAGGTACTGAGTAGTAAGTCCCGAGTCATGGGAATGTGCAATGCGGACATTGTCCTTGCTATTTGCTGGTCATAACTCTGAGCAGCTTTCCATCTACACTTCTAGATATTCATTTCTGTCTTCCAGAGGCAATTGTTTCTCTCCATTGATTGTCTAAAGAACCTAAGCATCTGTCTGAGGTACTCTGGTTGATTGTGTTGGAATTAGTCGTCTATGTTTTAGGTGCTGTGGTTCTTGACTTCAAAATGAGAAATGGCAGTGTTGTTATAAGTATTTCAACACAGAATTCTGTATACAAAGGACATGAGTAATAAAAGAGAAGGCCTGTATTCAGAATTAAAACACTCCATGCTAATCTGTTTCACAGATCTAATCCCTTTCTCTTGGAAGTATGAGGAACATTATTATTCTTCAAAATTAAAAATACATCAGTGAATAACTTTTAACTTACTAAAAACTATTCTTAAATAATCCTTAACAAAACCAGTTCATATAATAAATATTATGACAATGGGCTTTTTAAAAAACCTCATTAAGCAGTTGCACTTGGTGAGTTAATCATTTCCTTGCTCACAAATAGCCACACACTACTATGTGCCGTACATGAAATCTATTTCTCTTGCAGCAACCTGACATGAATGTCTATATTGTTTGGTTCGTGATAAATTTTCTCAGCGTTACGATTGAGGAAATATTTAGGTTTTTATTTAATTTTTGTTTTGAAAATTTCTGACAATTTTGTTTTGAATCACCATAAAAAAAAAATCATAAAAAATAACTTTGTAAAACAAATTCGGTTCATGCCAAATGAACTCAACGCGGAAAAAATTGTTTCACCACAGTCTGAAACTTCTTGCTATTAATAATTTTATTATTATCAAAATTTTGTTTAAATTAAGTAGACAAAGCACTGCCATTCTGAAAATTGAATGGTTTATTTTCAGTTCACAGGTTTTATTTTGGAATTTTGAACCAAAACAGTTCCATAAAAGCTATACACATTTTTCCAGTGTTTCAACAATCCAGTCCTCCAGTTTTAATGGCAAAATTTTACCCTGTTTATTTTAACTGAGCTTTATTTAAGCTGCAATGCAGTACTCCCTCACTAAGAATTGAGGTAGGCACTAAGATTGACAGTAAGATGATGCTAAAGACAAAAATACAGATATATGTACTTGATTGACTGTTTCAGGTTGTCAATCAGGTTACTCAGCATCACGCCATTATTCCACATCATGAACCAGAGATGTTAAAGATCACACTGAGTCTATTCTGGCATTCACAAAAGTGATATGCTGTAAAGAGCCAACATAGTGTGGATTTATAAATGAGTATCTTTCAGGCACTACAGCTAACAAATATGTTCAATATTCATCAAATCTGTAAAATATTCACCTGGAATTCATTGAAAGTCAAACACAAAACTCAACTTCTATTCTCTAAACAAGCATATCTATTCAGACTACACTGAAATTATAGCCAGTTTGGCATCTTACAGACAAACGGGTTTTTTTAAAAAAAACAATCAACATCTTTGATCAGTTTGTAAACTCAGAATTGTTTCACAGGTCTTTTTTCGGCCAATACCTGAGAGGAAAAATGTGGAACATTTAAAAAAGGATCAAAATGCCTGATTTATCTAGGAGCCTACCATACAAAATATAGCTAAACTTAAAAGATTTTCTCTCAAAGAAACTATTTTCCCACTGGTTTGAAGGTGAATTGTATGTTTAAGCTTCCTAAATTCTCTTTTTCTCATTTAGTACAAACTAAACCATTAGTAGCTCTTTGGCTATACATGTATAACGTTGACCACCACCGTGATGACTCTGAGGAGATGCAGATATGATGCTACAGAAGCAATTCATGTTGTGATGAAAGAGAGTGATGACAGAGACTGGTTTAAGAAAGAACATAGAGAAGCTGTTTAGACAAAGAATGTAATTCCAATCAGGAATTTCTTGTAGAGAGAAAACTTGTGTCCAATGAAGTCTTTGTAAATTCACTGTAAGAGAAACTGATACTGAACAAATTAAAAAAAAAAAAATAGTGGTCATTTTTTAGCAGTACTGGTGATGAACAAATATATACCTTAACAAGGAGGCAATGATTTCTTCTCAACTCAAAGTTTTCAAATAAAAGTCTTCCTTTCTGCAAGACTTGCTTTTATCAAGAGATGTAAAGGAAATCAAATACTACAAGGAAATCAGACTACTAGATCAATAGTTTTATCTCCTGATAGACTCTTAAGAAGTCAATGGTCAGATTTTCAGTAACATTACATGTAGAAAAATTTTACATTATTTGTGTTATTTGGTTTAAAACTATATGTTTTAAAACTGAAGTTTCACCAGACGCAAACCTCTTTAATACACACCTTTTATAAACTTTTTCCCCAAAGACAGAATACTCCTTGGTCTCACTTGAGGCCTTGTAGGACTCTTGTGCTGGGAACAATTTCTTTGCTAGAGTGAATGCATAAAAGCCCCACTGCAGATCTACAGTCTACTATGTGAGAACCCCAAAACACATGTACAGCTTGAAAAACCCCAAATGGGATTTTCATGATCTTATCATTATCACACTTGCAAAGCAGATGTACAGTTTGATCTGATTACTGGGATTCAATTTGCAATAACACCGTGAAAACTTTTCCTGTGTACATAGTACTAAATATTGCAGAAAATAAAGGCATAAGAATAGATCAAACTTTGGTGCTTTGAGGCTACAAGTAAGACTTTGTTTCACTTACATTTTTAAGAAGTTTTTCAGTTCATTTGACACTAGACCTCAAAGCAAGAGACCAGAGTATCAAATTGCTGGGGTCCACATGATTTTTCATTGGAAAATGTCACCAGTCATTTCTTTAAAAGTCCGTCAAACTGCTACAAGATACCATGATCAACATTGGCCTGTGTGGAATCTTTCAGGGCTCAGGTAGTATGTAGATAGTCAATGCTTATACCTACAAACCCTCAGAATAAGGGGTGCTAGAAATCCTTGAACCAAAAGGAGTTTGCAGTGACTTAATAATCATTTAAGTGCATTGTTCAAATTAATAACTTGAAGCTTAAAACATTACAAGTCTTCATTTTCTCCTTCTGGGGGAGAAAATATTTTAAGATTTAAGCATATATAAATACTGGATAAAAACCCCTGTTGTTCTTATTAATCTGCACAGATGTTCTTAGTTCTCGCAGTTCTAGTCTTCCAATTACTAATCCCCTGTACCGACAAAAACTCACGGAAAAGAACAGCCTGGACCCTTGTGAATTCCACTCTTTCCTCTAAGCCAATCAATTATTCCCATGTCCGGCTTTGACACAATAGGAACTGAAAACACATTGTTTATACTAATCAAAATTA